ATTTTTTGTGTGTGATCAGGACAATTCTGGAGAAGATTGGCCTGCAGGGGAAAGTCACCCCCATGCAGGCTAGAAGAAATGGGATAACTGAAGGGTGGCTGGCCTCTCCCTTAGAGATAGGGTGAGAAGTTCATCCATTTGGGAGGGGCTCTGAGTAGAGCCGCTGCTGCTCCACATCGAAAGGAGCCAGTTGAGGTGGTTCGGGCATCTGACAAGGATGCCTCCTGGGCGAGGTTTTCCGGGCATGTCCCACTGGGAGGAGGCGCTGGGGCAGACCCAGGACACGCTGGAGAGATTATATCTCTCGGCTGGCCTGGGAACGCCTTGGTGTTCCCCCGGATAAGCTGGAGGAGGTGGCTGGGGAGAGGGAGGTCTGGGCTTCTCTGCTTGGGCTGCTGCCCCCGCAACCCGGCCCCGGATAAGCGGAAAAACATGGATGGATGGATGGATGGACAAACAATAACAATAAAACAAGAATATTTATAATACATCAACAAAAATAAAGCCTAGGATCCTCCTGGTTTAAAATACGGTCCACGACTGGGACACTCAGGTTAATCCTGCAGTACAAGGGTCTGCTCTGGTTAAGGAAAAGGTGGAGAACAACATAAACAGTTTTAGTAGAAAGGTATGATTTTATTTATTTTATGACATCAAAGCATTATTGTCATTATCAAGCTTAAGTCAAATATACTAATAGGCTGTGAAAAGACTTAAAATTTATACACTTCATTTGTGTAACTAACTGTCAGGTTTTATGTTGGCACAAACGGCAATTATACTGCAGCTAGCAAAAGCATGAAGCACCAGGCAGAACTCTTTGTGTGATCTCGTGCACGAGGGAGATGACCGAGACGAGTGCTGTTCCTGGAGCCCCAGTCCCTCTCAGTCAGCTCCCCCGTAGCACTGCTCTTTATTGTGGTTACATGAATATGCATAGATTCATTAACATATGACATCTCACACAGGCATGCATGTGCTCAAATAATACCATCTGTGTACGTGTAAGTATGCGCGTGTGTGTGTGTGTGTGTGTGTGTGTGTGCGTGCGTGGGGGAGGTTGTGTGTACATGGATGTGTGTATGTGTGTGTATGTGGGTCAAAATATGACCCAAAGCTGGTGCTAGGAGCCCAGCTGACCACCTAAGCAAAAGGCACTTATACTTATATAAGTATATATATAAGTATAGTAAGTAAGTATATACTTATACTCAACAGATGCAGAGTAGATGTCCTCCTATAATATAAATCAGAAAGAGAAGGTACGACCTCTCTCATGACCTTAGGATGTGTGTGTATGCCAGAGCACTGTGGAACGCACACAGAGCCTTTGCAGACTACTAAGGATGAGACAATCTATCAATATGTAATCGATTATATACCTCTAAGCATATATGATTATATGGTTCCAAGCATAAATGACAAACCAACAATATAACTCTGACACTAAGCTTTTTTGTGAACTCAGAAATAATCATGTTTTCAGCTTTGTCATTTTTACAGCCCATCTATGCACATAAATAAGTTACAGGATCAAATGAATAACAGAAAATAAATGGAAATAGAAAATGTTCTTCTATAAGTTTCAAAGAGATTTAGTTTACATATTTTATATAATAAAGTGAATGTGTATGAATGACCGGCAATCATTCAGTCACTGGAATTATGAAAAATGCTAAGTAATTCCTAAATGCATGTAGATTAAAGACAATTATTTTACCTGGATATCACTGTCTCTGACGAGCCTAAGGTACAAAACATGCCGGCGACGACAATAAAGTTTTTAAGCTCCTAGAGAATTAAAAAAGTACAAAAAACTGAGCGACATTTCTGAGTCCTTTTCAAAGTTTTCGCGCTGCGGTGCTAGCGACCGGAAAAATGCAGAATTAAGTGTGGACTTGAACGAAGGCTAGAAGACTGTCCAGTTTCACAGCCGTTTGCTTCCAGCCTACCGGCCTTTCTGCTGGAGTGGACACGTGATTGTTTGGTCTCCTGGATCAAACTGCTGGGGTGCATTGTTGCTGTTTCTCACTCTCATGATCAAGTATGTTTCGTGACACACACACACACACACAGACACTAGGTAAGAAAACTAAGGCGACCTAAGAACATAAACAGAGGGATAACAACTATACAGGTCGGAATCATGACCTCTAAATATATTAAATAACCCAAAACCATAAAGTCCAAACCCAAAACGCTGGGTGCAAACCCAGGATCACGACTATATTTATATATCAACAACAGCCTTTGACACACATGTAGACAACGTGGCTGCTTAGAGGAACAAAGATGATATTCTGTAATGCCATGTTTGTAGTTTGATCTCATATTATCACTGCATGATCTTACTTGTTGAATAAAAATATCACTGTACAATTTTGTAGACTTAAATTAAGTAAAAACAATTTTTTAGGGTTTAAAAAGTTTTAATTTATCAAAACATAAACAATATTTTCCGTTTTCATAGTCTTCAGTGAGACGGCTTCAGAGCGTAAACAGGTCAAAAACAAGCTTTGGTGCTCAGCAGCTCTAAAAGTGTTTAAGTTGTTGACTTTGACTGTTCTCTCTGTATTCTGACACATGATGGCAGAGCCGCATAAAAAAGTGCTGCTAAGTAAAAAAGCAGTAAGAGAGTCACAGACACAGAAAAAGCTCTCAAAAATTCACCAGTGACTCAGTTCATTTCAAAACACTTTATTAAACTGAATTATTGCAGAGACAAAACAAGACAAACAATCAGCGTAATAACAAAAAGCTGTGAAGGGCTTTTTTTCTAACTCTGTCTGTTTCACATTTTCGTTGCCTAATTGTAACCTCCACTCTTACCAGTACCAGTTTATACAGAGATCAAATTAGTACTGAGCAGGATTGAGTTCAGTTTATTGATGCGGTCCTCCACAACAGGCCCAGTTTCTCATGTGGACCCTCAGGAAAATGAATTGCCCACCCTGCTTCAGAGGGTCTCTGTGCCACAGCAGACTCCTGACCCAGAATCACACTTACGGGAAGTCATCGTCTTCAAAAGCAACCGAATGATCTGTGAGGTCAAGCTGCTCAGTTATTATTCATTTCTGGCTCTTTTCCACAGTGTTACCCCAGCAGGTGGCAGATGACCGCCCCTCTCTGAGCCTGGTTCTGTCAAAAGTTTCTTCCTGTTAAAAAGGAGTTTTTCATTCTCACTGTCACCAACTGCTCACTCATAGTCGTCTGATTTGGAGTGTTTCTCTGTATTGTTGTACAGCCCTTACAGTATAAAGCCCCTGGAGGCAACTGTAGTTATGATTTTGCACCTTATAATAAAAATTGTCAACTTTTATTTATATAGAACCAAATTACAGCAACAGACAGTTAAACTGAATTGAACTGAATTACTTGACAGTTGTGTGCGCTGTCTGAGGACAGTCACTGTGTTTGTAAGTAGCCGTGTTCATTTTGTCACATGTTCTTTCTACTTTCTCCTCTTTGGATTTTAAACAATTTGTTGAGCACTAATGTGCGCATGAAGCCCATTAGTGCTTTGAGTGCTCCAGGTGAGTAGAAAAGCACCTCCGTCCAGTGAAAGAGCGCTGCCTGCTGCCGCTCAAAGAGGTCAGAGTCCGCTGGGTCCACAACGCAGGGTCGTGTCATTCTGTCAGGGGTGTCGTGTGTGGATGCGAGGAAAGGAGGACCCAAACGCTGGACTCACAGGTAGGTGAAGGCTGGTGTTTATTATGACAAGCAGATGAGCTGAACATAACATGACTGGCTGAACTGAAATGACTGGCTTAACTGAACACACGTGCAGAGTGGACAACATGAACATCAATGACAGACCAGGATGAAACTGAGGACTTAAGTACACTGGCTAATGATGATGATTAGGGACCGGTGAGAACACAGCTGAACATAATGAAACAGGAAGTAGAGCTAATGACACTGAGACAGAGGGCTGGCACGGTGAAGCGGGAAACATGAATGTGGAACATAAACTGAACATGAACTGAAAACACCAGGTGAACCACCCAGGAACCCTGACACAGTCTTGACTTTAGACAACTGAGCAGAAGATGATTGAATCTGAACAGAAGAGGAGAAAATCAGATGTCTGAGACAAAGTCTGAGCAGAAAACTGAGAATAAATTATTCTGAAAGACAGTTTGGAAACTCAACAGAAGAGAAATATTTTATTTAACTGCAATGCAGCCTGTGAACTGAGATGAACTTCGATTCAAAGCAACTGAGCAGCAACTTGGCAACTGAACAAGAGCAAATTAATGTCTATATGAAACTGACAGACAGTTTGGCAACAGAACAGAAAACAAGTGATTCTCAACAACTGAGCAACAATTTGGCAAATCAACAAAACAGAAATGACTGTAAATTTTTAATCTGAGCAGAAGAAAAGCTGCTCTGGAAACATGAGCAATAGTTTGACAGGTGAACAGAAAGAGCTTGAAACTCAGCAAACACGAGGCAGTTTGATACCAGAACAAAAGAGAAATGTCTCCCAAGAACAGCAACAACTTCAAGTCTGTGAATGTAAAGTGAGTGTAATCTCTAAGACTTGGAACTGCAGATTAGAATATTTTGATGAACATGAAACCATCAGAAATGTTTACATGAACCAAATCAGTAAAAGTGGAAGATGGAGGATGGCAAACATGCAAAAGAAAAATCAATACTGAGCAGAAGTATTGTTGTGTGAAAATGTCACATCAGGTGTTCAGCATTAAAGGGGACATGAAACACTACATGTATAAAGGCTAATTTACATCATGGAGCCCAGCTCTCAAAAACTGACACAGATGTAACTCTGACTGTGAAGCTGGATTTAAGAAATAACTGCTTAAAGCTATAAAAACACATGTATCGCCATATTCTGTCAGTACAGAGCATGACTCCACCAGGTCAGTTGGCTACTTTCAGTCAAAAGACTCACATTAGGTTGTGTTAGGTAACTAATAACAGAACCAATAACTCGAGCAAAATAAGGACAGTAAAACATCAGTTTAATGGGGTCACTGGCTGCACCTCGTGCCTGTCCCATCTGTGGCTTCCTGTTGGAGAACAATAAAGTTTATTATAAAAACATCGTCTGCCCTCGATGTAAAGTGAAGTTCTGTTCTGTGTGTTTGAGTCTTTACAGAGAGTGTAACGTTAACTGTACCTTATTGACTGTTTAGGAAGTGCGACCCTCAGACGCACCTCTGTACCTGTGTGGAGGAGGAAATCATCCTCATTTACTTTCATTGATTTAAACATGTGGTCTCTGATATACACATGGTATCATTTGTTGTGTGTTCTGTATTGTAAAGATTTCTTTTTGTGCAAAACATGTGAAAATGAAATGAAATGTATTTTCTTCTTTTCAGAGCAGGTGATACAGAGCTGAGTGTGGAGCTGGAGAAAAAGCTTTATGTGTAAAACTGGTTACAAAGTAGCTGTTAGTCAGCCAGCAGGAGATAAAAGCATCCAGGAAGCTCAGACTTTGTATCCAGTGTCTCTGTACATTATGTGTTTCTGTGAGGTGGAGAGCTAACAAAACAAACACTGCATGGGACTGTTGTGACTGTACCTGCATCCCATCTTCATTGTAGTAAACAGCGCTCTCCTCTGGTGTGTCGTGTTGGCCTGTGAAGATGATCAAATTCATCCACAAATGAAAAAAAATACGTTTTTAAAGGATGTTTGTTTTATTTTTAAACTGCATGCGTTTTATGTACTCACTCTTTCTTCTAAGATCTTTAAACTCAATAAGAGAGGAGGTGACATTCTCGTATTCATCTGCTCTTGAAATGTTCATAATTTTATTTACAGGATTGTAAAAACATTGAATTAGTTTCATTAAAAAAAATAAATTTCATCTCTAACTGTTCTATTCTTTTCAGCACATATACTGTACCATTTCTGTTCACTTGTGTGACTGAATCATAGATGTCATCAGTACCTAAAGAAAAACAGAAGCCAGGGTCACATTAATCATTTTATCACAGTTACACTAAAGATCAGAGCAGAAACAGAAACACTGTGTGAGTCAAAACCAGGACTGTAAGATCTTTAAATGTTCTTTAAAAAACTGCTGAACACAAACTGAACCTGACAAATGTTCGTGTTAATGGAGGCTTAATAAAAGTCAATATTAATAATGATAATAAAGACTGTTTTTCAATGCTGACCATGTTGAAGAGAGCCGTACACATGAGTTTCCTTCTGTTTGACTCCATGATTTGTGGAGGAGCTCGGACTGGGAATCTCAGACTGAATAGGCCTAAAATATGAAATAATCACAATAAAATTAAACGTAACTGATGTATGTTTCAAATAATAATAAAAAGTATTTTACCAACCTGGTGAAGCAGGAATCTGTGAAAGAGACAAATGTTATTACACATGTTTGTCATGTATAAATTGTTCCACTGATATTTTGTGTCATGAGATCAGAATACATGTATATGTGTGAATAATTAAAGTGCATGTAGTAAATAAACTCTCTAATACAGCATGAAAAGAAGAGGCTCTTACACTTGGACTGTCTGCAGCGATACAACAAGAGCAGGAGAATAATAATGAGAGAGACTCCACAAACCAGTCCAACCATCAACCACACAGGAGATGAAGAGCTGTCAGCTCCTGACACAGTTACTGTAACAAACAATAAGTAATAATAAAGTATAATACTTATTATTATACTGCATATTTCAGTTCTCACAAAATAAATCCAGGTGACTTCAAGCATTAAACAGACAATCTAATGTTTCTTCTCAAGCATGAAAATCATTTTTACAAAAACACATCAAATGTTTTGATCCTGCTCACCTTTAACTGACATCCAGCTCTGTGCTGACTCTCTTCCTGAGTACTGACACTTGTAGAAACCTTCATCAGACTTTGACACTGCAGAGATGTTCAGCTCCCCTCGGGTATCATTTTGAATAAGTTTGTCATTGTGATAGAAAAACACATTGGAAAGTATTTTTTGTGTTTTCAAACTGCAGCTCAGACTAACAGAAGCTCCCTCAGTCACAGGATGAACAGGACTCACCAGGATAGAAACATTACCATCATCTGTGAAACAATCAAACACAATTGTTTCAGTCACATCAGCTGGTGCACACTTTTAGGAAAAGCTGACATGTAAGCTTCAGGGAGATTTTCACAGAAGCGACTCTGTGAAACAGATGATCGACTTGAATCCAGGTAAGAAAGAAATGCATGTAGTAAATGAAGTAGAATGGCTGATCCTTTTATTTTGCAAGCTCATAATGTGATCTAACAGAGACTCACTTAGTAACTGATCTAAGGGTTGTGAATAGAATGAAATAAAAATAACTGCATTAAAAAACTTAAATACCAAGAAGGCCTGTGGGCCTGATGCTGTTACATTTGCTGATGAGCTGACTCCAGCTTGGAGTCCTGTTGATATCAGCTTCATCCTCACTATATAGAAAAAGGCTGCAATCAGCATAATAATGATCACAGACGTGCAGCAGTAACATCATTAGTAATGAAATCCTTTGAATGCATTATGGTTGAGCACTTGTGAAGTGAAGTACAATTTGAATATAATTACTTTAACTCACTTGATTTTAAAGCATTTAGAAAACCCCTCAGCTTATGCACGATTGTTATTTATGATCTAAGATCAGTGTTTAACACCACAAACACTTATACACTGTTAAATAACATGAAAGTGGATCCCTATATAATCAGATGGTTGTTTGGCTATTTTCATTAAAAAAGGAAGTGAAAGTCAGTTCTGCTCGTTCACACATACAATTTATAAGAACAAGAGTCTCACAGGGCTGTGTGAGATCTCCTGTTCTTTTCATATTTTATTTTAAAAATTGTGGAAATCAGAAGGGATTGTGCAGTGGTATAAGAAACACACCTTCGTGTTAAATATAAAGAAAAATAATCGTCATATTTATAACGATCATTGATGAAAGATCTATTGGAGATCTCAGCCTGGTTTCAATGACTGGAGAGAAGTTTGAACAAGTGACAACATTTCAGTGTTTAGTCTTCTCTGCAGGAGTCAAATTATTATCAGTACAATTGCTGAATCATTATGGGTGAAATTGTGGGTGAGTGTTTGCATTTTTGTTTGTTTTTTGCATGATGTGTTTCCCTAAGTTACTCTGAATGGAGACAATAAAAGTTTATCTAATGTGATGACAGAGATGTTGAGCTTTTTAGAGTTTTATTCTGATGGAGAAAATATAAAATACTCATTTAATTAGAGAACAAAAACCAAGAATATTGTTTGAAGCTTTGGAGCCTAAAATCATCTGAAATTCTCATTTTTGTTTGTGTTGCCACATAGAATTACTTCACATAGAGCAAAGCTGGGACAAATGTTCATGTGACGTCTAAATCATTCAGATCCAAGAAGTAAATGTATAATAACATACTCTGTACAGTGATGTTGACTGCACTGCTGAACTCTCCCGATCCAGACTCACACCAGTACACTCCAGTATGTGACTTTGATGCTTTGATGTTACATGTGGATCCAGTCATTCTCCTACAGTCAGAGAGTCGGCCGTCCTCAGAGAACTTTATCACTCTCCACTCAGTGAAGTTTCCCTCACAGGTCAGTGAGACAGAGTCAGAGGTGAAGTGTTGCACTCTGTCAGGACTCACTGTGAGAGACGCTGCTGAATGAACATCTGGAAACAACATGCAGTGAAGAGACAAAGCTCACAGATGTTAGGACTGCTATCACCCCATTTTACTTTAGAATGGCACACCAGTAAACCAGGATTCTCATGATTTTTGATCCCCTCTTTGACTCAGACTAACAGAAGCGTTTTTGTGGTCTTCTTATGCAGCTGGTTCAGTGAATCTTGGTTCGCGCGTGGTGAAACTAAGTGTGCAGCAAAAAGCTGCAGAAGCTAATTAGCCTTTGTTTATATCATTACATGGAGTCTGGAGAATTTTTGGATCAGTTTTGTTTGTTTTGCATTTATGTAACTGCTCTTTGAATCATCACTTATTTTTGCTGTGTTCGGTGGTTGTAGAAATGGATTATTTGAGCATTTAGATTAGATTTTCTGTGGATATTACACATGGTGATATTTGCATAAAAGGCGTGACATCATGGGTCACATAACTTTTAAGCTGGGGCGTTGGAGCTTAATCTGTCAGCAGAATTCTTTCTACAAGTTTCCAAATCATACTGGCTCAGGTTAAAGGCAAATCATTCACGGGACTTTAGCTTTAACCCTGATCAGCACTAATAGAACAGACAACACTGAGTCTGACAACAAGCCCTGAATCACACAGACAGTCAAATCAGTGGAAAACAAAGGAGCCGAATACTGACATGTTTAAGATGATCTAACCCACATGCTTTATCTGCTGGCAGCTCATGTAGAGCTTGGTACAGGTCATGTGACATCATGAGCTTTGAGTCATCACTCTCAGCATCATCCACCTGATACAGATCACTCTGAACACACTTCAGTCATTTGCTGTAATGTTTCTGTCATAATTCTGTGATATTGTCTGTTTCACAGATTCCTTCTACAGTGAGATATTTTGCAGCAGCAGGACCAAAACTAAAAACCTTTGAAGTATATTTTAAATGAACAATAACAGCAGCTGTTATTTGTGACGTCTTCTTCTAGCGTCCATCTGTAGTCAGTGTTTCTCTTGTATTTGTCAGAGCTGTTAACCTGCCTGCTGACATCTTTGTTTCTTTATTAACTATATTTGACTTTTTATCTGAACACCTACCTGAGCACCAAACAAAGAGTCTTAACTGTGTAAATCCTGTCTGTGCACTAAGTAAAAATAATCAGTACAAACAGAAACATGAGTTTAAATATCAAAACATTTAAAATCTCATAGATGTCTTTTGTTTTTCATGTTATCACATTAAATAAAAACTGAAAAATAAGAAAAGGAAACAAGGAAATTCAGTTTGGTTTGATCACAGAGAGAACGGAAAACATTCAGTTCATTTGTTCTTTTGGGAAGTTTTAATATAAACGGAGATAAATGGTTGTCATGGAGATGAGATTTTAATGGTCTAAATCCTGGTGAATAAAAATGATGACCTAACATGAGCTCATTGAAAGGACAGAGAGAAACAAACTGACCTGCAGACCAGACAAACTTTGGTTGACTGTGATCAGTGTGATACTCTGGGTCTCCTCTTCCAGCTCTGCACACATATCCTGCTGTGTGTGTCTGTCCATGAATGATGTAGGAGTCCTGTGCAGTCCCACTGCCATCAGGTAGCAGCTCATAACTGGAGGATTTATAGTTGAATGTTTTCAGATCAGGAACAGCTTTATACCAGTAGAAGCTCCATCCTGCAGACGGATGTTCAACCTCACAGTTCAGAGTTACTGAGGCTCCAGGACTCAGCCATGATGGAGACACAGTGAGGACAGGACGGGGTTCATCTGTTCAACAAAGATTTTCTCTCAGTGAACATGTAGTACAGTCTCTGAACAGTGAGCTCAGTTTATACAAAGAATAATAATCTCAGTCTATATGAACAGAAACACATTTTACAAAGTGTTCAAACAGCTTAAAGCAAACATGACTTACTGTCAGAAACTGTCAGTGTGACTGAATCACTCCACTCTGTTGTTTCATGCTGTGAACTTTTCATTCTGCCCTTACAGCGATAGTTTCCACTGTTGAATGATGAAGCAGATCTAATCCTGTATTCATTTTGATTTGGAGGTTTTCTGATGCTGTTTGTTTCCCACTCATAATCCCACTCAGTGTCTCCTCCATGGATCTCACATCTGACAGTGATCGTCTCTCCTCCGTATATCTCAGACCAGTTTGGATACAGAGTCACAACAGACCTGTTTGAGACTGTTAATATTTAAGAAAGTAAAATAAAAACACATGAATGACAAAAGGTTCAGTTACCATCAGATGTAGTGCTTTGTGGGAAGTTACATTTAAACTCACCAGTTGTGTCAATCCTGACTGACTCACTCAACTCTGTGTAGTAAACTGGTTCTCCTCTTCCTCCTCTGCACCTGTAGCGTCCTCCCTCTGAGACACTGATTTGTCCATTTGTCACAGGTTGATAAGATCTGCCAACTGTGTACCAGTAGTATTTCCATCCATATGATGATGATGGGTTCACAGAGCAGGTCAGGGTCACACTGCCCCTACTGGAACAGCTGTCCTATCAGCTCTCAGTTCAGCCTTTGGTTTGGTAAAAATGACTGAATCAGAACAATTTAAAGATGGAAATATGTAAATGATCAAATATCACAAAACCATAGTTGAGATAAAACAAACTGTAACCCAGGTCAATATGATCTGATTGTATTTTGAACATGTGAGAATTGCTCCTAAACGAGTGTGAGCAGTTATCATTTCATTGGTGTTGTTTTTTACTTTTGTTTTTGGTGTATTGGAATTTGGTGAGTTACAATTGGTTTTCTTTTGTGTCAGTTAGCACGTTATGTCCTTGCGTTCTTTACTAAATCTGATGTTGAAGCCTCTGATAGCTAAGATGAGACCTAGTAAGGTTGTTTTATATTCTTTTGCTGTGGAAGCTGACATTTCCTGTCGCACAGATGTCTTTAGACCACACTAATACGCACAGTCAACTCTACCGCTGACATTACAGGGAGCAGTTTGGATGTGATTTCCAGCTGAGCTGTTAGGAATGCTGGAATAAGACTTCAGTGTTTGTGTTGCAAAACAGATCAGGTTTATCAGCCGAGAGCAGATCTCAGAACTGAAATCTGAGACTGTTGAATCTTGACGGTGATCCACGCCTAGGAGATCTGAACTTCCACTGAAATCATCTGTTCCTGCTGGATCAACTCATATTCCAGAGATCAGGAAACTGACTCACACTTCTGAACTGTGACACGACTCCACCGAGCAGTTTGGGAAAGGCTAACATAGCAGACCAGTCTCTCCTAAAATGAGGACAATCATTTATTATTGTTTTACACTACTTTTGTTAGTATTTTGTTCTGTTTTTGGATGAATTGTGCAATACAAATAAAATAAGGGAGGAGATGCGTTTAACTTGTATCCCTGAATCTCATATCTGACAGTGACTTTCTCACCTCTGTATATCTGAGTCGTGGATGGTTGGAGGGTCACAGTGGGCTCAGGAGGAGCTGTTCAAATAAAAATATATCATTACAAAACGATCCTGGTTTTATTGCTCTTGTTAATTTTAATTATATTTATGTCCTGGTAAAAATTTGACTACAAATCAACAATAAAAAGTTAGTTTTTACCAAACAGATTAAATGATATTTAGACTCTACCAGCAGAGTGACTGAACACAACCAGGTGTGCACAAATCTAAACTGTGACACTGAACATTAACGCATAAACACACAATATCATGTAAACAACTTCAGTTTTATAGTCAAATATCACACAATTTACTTATTTCCAGAGGTGGGAAGTAACGAAGTACAAATACTTTGTTACTGTACGTAAGCTATCTGTACTTTACTTGAGTATTTATGTTGACATTGTGTTTTTCATAGTGTGAAGCATGCTGCAAAACAAACTGAGGTAGAATCACTGTGTTATTTAAGGCTGCATGAAAATCCTCTACAGATTAGTGCAGGATAAACAGGTTAGTTTGCTGTACTGTGATGGATTTAAAGGAAAGACCAGTGTGTGACTGGTGCACAGTGACAGTCCAATATAAAGTCAGTATAAACAGTGTACTGTGAGTGTAGAGACGAGGACAACTCATGAAACGTCTGCTTACATCAGACTGAATTCAGGTGGATAAATCTGCCAAGAGCAGCAAGTCAGCTGATCACAGCTCATACATTGAGAAAATCTACTGGAGCTCTCAATAGAAAATAGCCTGAGCCATTAAAAACTGATTTTAGGGTTTTCCACACGCTGAATCCCACTTTAAACTCTTGTCCATTCTCTTCCGCTTATCGTTATCAGGGTCGCAGGAGGCTATAGACTATCCCAGCTATCATAGAGCGAGAGGCAGGGTACACCCTGGACAGGTCGCCAGACAGAGACAGAGACAAACATTCGCACTTCCACATATTTAAAATAATCAATTCACTTAACCCCACTAAGTGCATGTCTTTAGACTGTGGGAGAAAGCCGGAGTATCTGGTATTTCCTTTCATTTTTATCCATGTAGCTTTGTACAAGGAGAACTCCAAGAGTTAATACAAAAGCGTACACTGAGGTAAGCAGCACACATGCCAATATCAGTGAGATACACTGCACTACTCACACAAATCATCATCTTCTTGTAAATCTGTACTGTAAACTGTTCAGATAAACATCCATGAAAAGAGAATTAGTCTGTATGAAGGCAGCACACTCTTAATATGATCATTTTAAACACTCTGTGTTCCTCCGACACTGCCTCGTTTAAGTTTTGGACGAAATGGATTCTGGGATATTGCATTTCGTCATTTCGAGCTGATTGGAGACCAGAACAGCCAATCAGATTTTTTTTGCATCCAAGTCTCTGATTGGCTGGTTTTGTGGCACAACTATAACGGTGTACAGAAAGAGTTGAGCGCGCACGGGCAGAAATGTTGAGAGCGCGAGCAACACATTGTGAGCGAGTGCAAAAGTGCAAAAACTGAGCGAGAGGGGCTGCTGTTGTGTGTGTGTGGATAATAGCAAACACAGATACATTTTTTGCAAAGCAGCAATGAATTTTCTTCACTCAAAATAAATTTCTCCTCAAAATGCAACACAATTTTTTTTACGTGCGCTCAATTTTTTTTTTTACGTGCGGTCAGAATAGTGGCACAAAGATAACGCCATATAAAACCGACTGACGACTGACTCCATAAATATACAAGATGGTGATGAGGAAACACACGGAGAAGACAGCTGGGGGAAATAAACATAATGACACAATACAGGAAGCAAAACTGAACACAGGATGGGACACTGTCAAAGTAAAACAGGAAACACTGAGACCTACACCTGAGACACACAGACTTGACAACAACAGTGATAAACAAACAGGGAGGCAATAGCAGAGACACAAGAACAGGAACAGGTGAAGAGAGGATGACGATGAAGATGAAACACAGTAAAACGACTAAGACACAAGGGGGTGAGGGAGAGGGCGAGAGAGAGAGGGCAGAGAGATACAAACATCGAATAAGGCACATGGAGACAAACATGGGTGACAAAACAGACTCACCACAGAGAGGAGACATGGAATGAAACACGGGAACAGAAAAGGGAGCCAATGAGCCACCACCCTGACACCATCAGTGTAAGAAATGATTTACAGTATTTAACTGTTTTTCTACATGATGAAGAAAAAGCTGCTGTGAGAAAGAGAGAAACCTGTCGGCACCACCCTTTGACTTAAATTGTAAGAAACAAATGTGTAAAATAGAAACATTTCTGTTTACCTGCACTTTAATCATTTGCTGTTTTACCTGTTTGGTAGTTGTTGAAATGGTTTGGCCTGTACCACTACACTTGCTGTCTTCAGAACGTCTGCCCCCCTTCTTTCTTTCACATAATGGTATGATCCCAGCCTGTCTTTGCATGCGATTGGCCACATGGTGCGCCCATCGAAGCACGGATTCTTAGCAGGGCTGAAGATTCAGTTCCCACATACCGAGGGTACATTAATAACTGGCTCGCAGGCCGGAAATAATTGTATCGAGGGCCGAATGTGGCCCGTGGACCGTAGGTTTGACACCCCTGATTTCGAGCATTGTAGGAGATAACAGCTACATATATGAACTGGAGTAAAAACAGTGTTTCTTACCTTCAGCGTTTCCACAGATGACTGTACTGAGCACTAAAATAATGAATAAAAACTCATCAGATATTATACCTTTTAAAAGACTTTATACTGATTATTGATTATTGTAAATTTAGGGATGAACAATAATCACCAAATGTCTCCTGTTTGCTAAACAAGCTCTAATCAGTGACTCATTAATTCTCAGAGATCAGAAACATTTTCATTAATGGTGCCTTTCAAACAATGTCAGACGTGTACTTACAGAAAAAGCCCATCATGCAGAGCAAAGAGAGCCCCATCGTCACATCCAGCCTGCTGCACTCTGATCCTCAGATAATCAAACAGTTTTAGTTTGCAGAAAAAAAGAGAAGTTGTGTTTTGTTTGGGTGTGACAGAGTTTTTCTACAGGTTCTTCTTCTGATTGGTCTCTCTGTGCTTCCTTCCCTTTTGGACACAAAGCTCAAACAGCTCCTGTAGCTTTGACCGCAGCAGTTTTGTGACGTTTTCCATCGCTTTAAGTCATATCTTACCGGGTCTTTTTTTACTCTGACAGCATCCCCTGGATCATTATCATTCTGCAATGTTACTCTTCCTGCACACTGGGAGTCACTGGGAGTGAATGTACCAAAACCCCTTTTCTGTTTTACAGCCTGTATTTTTATATCTAAGTCTTTTTAATGATTTTTTTACATTTGATTCTTTATCGGAGGAATTATGTGGAAATTCTTCTTTCATGCTGCATAAAAACAGAAAACAGATTTTATCTGACTCTTAGCTGAAACATCATCATGCAGTGCTATAATAAAAATGCTCCTTTGACCTCAGATCTGTGCATGTTTTCACCTTGTGGTTAAATTTTATGTTTGGCTGACACCCAAACAGAGTAAATGACTCACTGTGTGGTTGAACTGAAACTAAAGACCTGTATGTTTCACAAATTAAATTAACAAAGACAAC